CACATACACTCGTTCGAAAACAAACAGCTGTATTGTTCTTCTCTTTTTTTACTAATCTAGAGAAAGAAATGGAGTTAGTTTCCTCCATCCATCGCATCGGACGAGTGAAATAGACGAAAGGAGGAGGAATAATGATGGACGAACATCAATTCTTCGGATGGCAGATTCAACAACCAATCAGAGTTTTACGAACAGCTGATAAACAACAACAGCTGATTCTTACTTCTTTAACATTTTTTTTTCCAGTCAAGATATGTTCAATGAGTCATTCAGAATAACTAGGAAGTCAGTTTTTGCTTATTTCATTCATCAAAATTTATCAAAATAAGATTTAATAAAAATAAATAAATAAAAATAATGACGAATGATTATTTCATAAACAAAAACAATAAACGTTTACATAAATTATATTTTCAAGTATGAAAAAACAATCCTTTGATTATTAATCAATTCGAGATTCTAAATTTTCGTTTTCTTTTTACATATATTATTATCATTAATGTCAATAGAAGAAAAATAAATGTCGTTTTTTTGATCTTAGTCATATATTCGAAAGAATTTTATAAATGTTATACATTTCGATTAAGAAATATTTCGTTTGAAAAATATGTTCTTATAAAATATTTAATTTGTTATTATTTTATACAAAATTCTTTTTTCGAACAAAATATTTTCAACACATAGCGACATTTTATAATTGTAAGCATATGGTGTTTTTTCTCCATAATAGTATAAATGATTAATAATATGATGCAATGTATTCTATTTTTAAAAGAATAATTAAAATGAAATCTATATTATAAATTCATATATTATGATTTTTTTATAATAGATCGATCATAAAGATTAGATGAAATGTACTTTTATTTATCATAATTTATTTATTGTATTTTTACTATTTTAAAAATACCGATAATCATACTATTACAGTGTGCACATTGAGATTAACCGAAAACAATTTAGATATTTTTACTACAATTGAAATAAAGGTCATGAACACGATTGTCTTTTAGTTTCTTTTTTTTTTTATAAAGAATTGTTGGTATAATAGAGTGCTAACACGCATACATAATTCTTATCTACAAATATTTCTTAAAATAGCATTGTTGATTCAGTTAATATTAACATTATTTTTATTTTTTAATGAAAAAAACAAACCTAAAATTCTTGATACTAATGTAAAGTCCTGGTTTCCTTTGAAATTGTGATTCATATTTATTAGCTTATACTTTCGGAATTAATCATTTTTATGTCATTTATAGATTTGTAAGAATTGAAATAAAGAATATTTTTTTTCAATCAATCTTTTCTTCTTATTTTATTTTTGTTTTTTCTTTCTCTCTCTCATATTTGCTTCAAATAACAATAAATAAAGATCGAAAAAACAATAATTGAGAGAGTCTAATTAATGCATTATGCAAACGGAGATATAATTTGTTTTTTGTAATTATTTTGTTTCTTTAGCATAATATCCTTTTCCAACAAATCCATCTCTTGTAGCCAATCGTACAATTGAATCATCAGCTTCACCCATCAAACGAATTGAACCACATAAAGCATATGTACGGCTTTTTCCAGTCATACGTCCTGTATGTTCATCAACTTCAGCAATATCTAATTGAACAGCAGCATGATCTTTAGCTGCGATGATTTTATTACTTGCAGCGCATTTTCTTGGTACATATAATTCAATTTGTTCGGCTGTTGGTACTGCGTCTGTATGTTGCATTTTTGGTTTTTGTTTTAGAAATATATGTATATATAGATATCTGAAATATTTAATGATTAAAGAAACGCTAGTTTAAAGTAAATTAACAGAATAAGAAAAAAATAGTTCGAAATTAATTTTGTTGTTTCCAAAAATTTGGATTTTCTGTAATACGTCGTTGAAAATTAGTATACCATGTTGTAACAATACTTAATGGAACAATTTGTTCCGATGTTCCAGGAACATTTTGAACAAATGATGTTACATAATTAACAAAATTATTAAGCATTTTTGATACAAATTCAACATTTGATGCAACTGTTGATGGTGTTACATCATTTGGTTGAACTTGTTGATCAAGTTGAGGTAAAGGTTCAACACTTATTCCTAATAAACCATCTGATGGTATGGCAGTTTGATGTTGAAATGCACTAAATAACGCTGGTGCTAACGATGAACCTAATTTCGATTCATTATCTAAACAAGAAAAATTTTATTTTATTTTATTTTAACAAAAAATAATAATAAACCTTTAATTTTATTAATTTTAAAAATTGCACTTGGTTTTGTATTCGTTATTTTTCCAAGATATATCCATGTTGGTCCTTCAGTACTTGGCCAACTAAAGTAGACTAAAAAAGAAATATTTTAAAATAAATCACTAATAAATAAATATATTACATTAATACTTGCCACCACCACCATAATTTTCTGGAAATGGAATTTGTCCAGTCATAAATACAACGAGATGATTGACATGATCAACATCGGGTATTGGAATAACAAATTGTGTTTCGCTTACTTGTTGAAAATTGATTTGTGGCTTCAAAGAAGAATTTTATTTTTATATAGAAAAATTATTATTTTTCGAAACTTACTAATCGACCAGCAATAAGTATTGAAAACATCAATTAGTTTTTTTTTCTTAATAAATCTACAACAGATGTACATATATATTTATTTATTTATTTATTTTAAAATAAACAATCGAGTTTTAATACGAGAAAAAACAAAA